TCTCTCTCTCTCTCTCTCTCTCTCTCACTCTCTCTGCCATTCCCAAAGCGTGGATATTAACCTGTTCTTATGCACAGTAAAATTGTAAATGAGCTGATTTATCAATGTCCTGCTCACACTGCCGAAACAACATAGATCTCGGGGGAACTGCTGCCTTTTCTGTCCTCATCCTTACTATCGTTATTTTCATCTACTCCTTTCGTATGTTTGTGATTCTCTTGTGGACTGCTCTTTCCGGGGTGCCTTGATAGTCGAAGCAGACTTTGAGCTGTTGAAGCTAGAGAGGTGAGCAGAGAAAGCATGATTCCCCGTTTGGACTTCTCTGTTGACATCCACCCCTTGGCGCTCATATGACCTTATGCAGTTGGGAGCGCCGTTAAAACTTTATTAAAACGGTGACAACAACAACAACAACAACAACAACAACAACAACAACAACAACAACAACAACAACAACAACAACAACAACAACAACAACAACAAACGGTTTAATTATCGATGAATAGTCAGGCCCAAACCGGAAATAACAGAGTCGCCACAAAAAGGCAACAGTGATTGAATTGAAAACTTCAGGGAACTAAGATCGTGCAGAGTAACACCTGTCTTTTTAAAATGTTTTTATTATTTCGTTACTAAAAACAAATCTCAACAAAAGAACGTTCATGAATACAAAGTGAACCGCTCCAGTCAACAGTGGCGTCTACAGAATTTGAAAAAAACCCAACAACAACAACAACATGACAACCGTGAATCGATCGCCAAGATGAATATGCAATTAACTTCGGTAGACTCTCAATTTGTTTGTTTGTTTTTTTCTATAATACTGAATGCTTTTTTGCCGTAAACAAAGCTGTTTCTTAAGCAAAAACAAAACAAAAACACCCCCCCAAAAAAAAGAAAAATAGAGTAAAAGAGGCATAATAAGCTATACTTCATTTAATTAGATGATTACCTAAAAAAATGATGATGGCGATGTTAATGTGGTGGTGGTTGTAGCCAAAAACAAGATCACGGTGTTGACAATGATGATGCCAGTGAAACCTGTTCTTCTTTCATCTCCGCTCATCCTCACTAGTCTATACAATATTCTTCTTCGTTTTCGCAAGCTTACTCACAGCTCCGGGATTCCACTCACTTCCTCTTCTACCCCCCCCCCCCCTAAACAAAACAAAACAAAACAACAACAACAACAACAACATTAAAAACTAATACCCCCCCCCCCCCTAAACAAAACAGAACAAAACAAAACAAAATGCAAAAAAAAAAACCTACAAAAAACCTACTCACACACGCACACATCCACCCCTCCCCACACATACACTTTCTCAACCCTCTCTACCCCCAGTTGTTGTTCTCCTACTCATACTCTTTGAGTGGAGTTGGCGTCTCTCCGTTCCCTGTCATCCGTTCTGTTTTTGTCTTTGTTTTGTTTCACCGCTTTCTCGGTGACGATCCATCTTGCGCCAACCCGTTCCTGCCTGTTCAACTGACGCCACCACTACCACCTTGCTCTTCCCTCCCCTCCCTTCCTCTTTCCTTCTGAACTCTCCTTCTCATCTACCCCTCGACCCTTTCTTTTCCGCACTTTCCCTCCCACCTACCCCCTCGACCCTTTCTTTTCCGCCCTCTCCCACCCGCCTCCTCCCCTAGCGTGCAAGGCAAATCGCTTCTCAACTCGTGACGGCCATCGCGTCTTATCGACGTTCAGCGCGCAGCCGAGAAAGCTCGACGGCCGACCGACACCTAGAGCGGCGAAGGTAGCGGCGAAGGCTATAGGGAATCCCCGCCCACTTCGCACCCGATTGGTTCTGGGGCGCCGGACGGGGCCAATCACAGACAGCTTTAGATAGAGGGGCCCTAGGACGGCCGACTTGACGGCGAAATAATGGCGTCGAAGAATCGCTTGCGGTTCCCCCCTCTAGATTCCGTGTGTGTGTGTGGTTTGTGTGCGTGTTCGTGGGGCGAAGAAGAAAAGTCGCCCCGCTAGGCCTGCAACAATAGCTGGCTGGCATGGTGTGTCATTCACGATTTGTGGAAGGAAAGAAAGAAAAAGAAAAAAGAAAAGAAAAGAAAAAAACGACAAAAAGAGGCAAAGAAAATCTGGAAATGATTGATTTATGATAACAGAGGCTGGAAAGAAGTGAAAGAAAATTCCTCACAATCGTGTCACATTTTTTTTCTTTCATTGGCTTATTTATTTTTATCCAAGACTATTACAGAAACGGCGAGTGTGGTGTTATTTCTGGCACTGTGCATCAGAGCTTGCTCCATTCTGCTCGTTTCGCTCGTGAGAAGCAGGGACACAGTGTGTGTGTAAATACGACAGGAACACACGAGATCGTAGACGCACGACCGTGTAGTGTAACCTAGCGAGCTCGTCTGCGAGGGCCGTATTTTGTCTGAAATGAATGAGGAGACGCTTCTCCCATCCTCGGTGACTGCTGCTGCTGCTGCAGTAATAATAATAATTGTGTGACAGACAACTCCCCCGAGGCGAAACAAGGAGAATGATGAAGACGAGGACGTGAACGATACTGTAGTACCAACCTCCTGTTGTAACTTACCTCCGAGCGACCCTCGCGACACAACTGCTATAACCGACAGGAACGAAATTCATTAGCGACCTACGACGCACAACGACATGCGGATGGATGACTCCGGTTGACTCTCCTCTCCGGGCTATCATTGCACGTATTATTGCTCTAATTATTCTCAGTCACCTCCTTAAGAAGCCACAGGAGATGGGCAGTATGCGCGGACACACGACTCCCCCGCCCCAGGCCACAACTAGTGTCAGTGTAGGTCTAGATCTAACTGACTAACCGCTCGACTCAGCTGTAACAATAATACCAGCTAGCTCGGGCGACAGTTCTCGGATCCTAAAGCAAACACAGTTCGTCCTAGCGATAGTTATAACTCGAGCTATTTGCTTTACGCTAGTTATAATAACTATAACTGTTACACTGCTATTTGATAGTCGTCGACTTGGGCGGACGGACAGTGCATCTCGCTACAGGCCTACGGAGAGAGAGAGAGAGAAATAATAGATCTAGCTACAGCAGCAGGGGGAAATATTTGGATAATGATATGCGAACAGTACACAGATATGGATAGCAACAACAATCGTCGGCTGAGATTCTCTTCTCTCGGGATGGAGGCGTCGCCTCTGGACTTTATACGATAGTCTGTCGTGAGATAAAACTCGGGAAAGTTGGTGAGTAAAACATGTGACTTGTTGTCTGCTCTCGCTCTCAACATCTGTTACATCTGTGACGAGCGGCGCACGATTTCTTTGTCGTCGCTGACAATCCGTTGTAAATCACCTCCCATCTTATTCAGCCCAGGACGTTCAGTTTTCTTAGCTCAGAACTATGAATGTTTTCCCATACTGAAAGACAGTTTCTGGACTCTGACTTGTCGAACTCATAACAATGTAACCTATACGTCGATGTATTATTATACCTGGTACATTCTATTTTAAAAAATTGCTTTGAGCTCTCTCTCTCTCTCTCTCTCTCTCTCTCTCTCTCTCTCTCTCTCTCTCTC